CTAAGCTAAGCTAGGCTGAGCTAAGACCAGATGTATGATCTTTGGGGGGGAACCACATACATATGTATATATATATACATATATATACATAGTTTATTACCTGGACCCCCCCCACCCCAACCCCCTAAACCAGACCCCCCCCCCAGGGACGCCCCGGACGCCTTTTCGGACGTCTCGGCGGCCCCCTGGACGCCCTCGGAGAAGGTCCGTTGGCCCTTCGGGGCCTCTCAGGGCGCCTTGCCGGGCCTTGCGAGCAGACTCGAGGCGATCAGAGGGGTCATCGGAAAGGCGCACGAGAGACCCAAGACAGCACAAGAGCGCTCCAAGAGGAACCTCGATGGTCTGAAGGCGGCTCAAGAGCCCCCCAAGACGCCCCAAGAGAGCGTGAAGTGAGCACCGAAGCAGCAAACAAACATCGTCCCATTCCCTTGGGAAAATGTATATTCTTAGCATATCCGCTTTTTGGGTCTTCGCAGCGTCCAAGGCGGCCCGGTGGGCCCAGAATATCGCCCCAAGACGGCCCAAGAGGCTCCCCAGAGGGTTTGAAGACGGCCCAAGAGGGCTCCAAAATTGCCCCAGAGAGCCCCGAGACTGGCCACAAGAAGCTTAATATGCCCGCAGAAGGCTCCCAAGAGAGACCCACGAAAGCCATAGGAGACCCCCAAGAAGGCCACTGGAGGCCCCCAAGGGGGCCCTAGATTGTTTCAGAAGACCTCTGGAAGGCCCCAGCTCCCCAAGAAGGCCCCAGGACGGCCCAAGAGGGCTCCAGGACTGCCCAAAAGAGCTCCCAAAACGCCCAGACGGCTTTCTCCTACGAAGTACATCGAGCTGACCCGAAGATCTTTGTTCCACGCTTGAGGCTCAAGGTTTAAACTCTTCGATCGAGAGAGACAGGTCTCCCCCCTCCCCCCTTCCACCTCTTCAGTTCTCCCTCATCCCTGCTCCCTTCCCGTGCCCCGTTCATGGACAAGTGCCATCGCAACAGTTTGACGCGTCGTCGTTTCCCAGCGCCTTCGCGCGTGAACAACTTAGAATTCTTTCCCCACACCTGCGTACAAGCGCGCAAGCGCATCGGGCGAACGCGGTCTCATCAGGCACCAGGGATTTCAGAACAATGGGCCAGTCGCCCGTCCAGGGTTCGAGGTCCCCCATGCTGAGGCAAGCGATGATTCAGCGCTTTGCCGGGGAAGAATCTGGAGCAAAGCGCATGGCGCTCAGCGCCAACGCAGTCTTGTTTATGTATGCATGTATCTATGTATGCATGCATGTATGTATGTATGCATGTATGTATGTACGTATATTTGTGTATGTGTATGTATGTATGTATGTATGTATGTATGTATGTATGTATATGTATATGTATATATGCCGGCGGAAGGGGATTGGGGCCGCCAGGCCGGTACCTGCGCCCCCCATGGCCGCTCCGGGGCTCCGGGTGCGCTCCTGTCCGGGCCAAGAGGCGGCCAAGACGTGCCCAGGGAGGTGCAAGTGGCTCCCAAATCGGTCCTACACGGCCCCGGGGCGCTCAAAG